AACTGTTGCAGGAACAAGTTGATGAAGAAAAATGTTACAACGGTGAATGAAACCTTCAATGTTAATGCTAAGTAAATATGAATGGTATGTGAATCCAAAGTAAATGCTAGAAAGAAAAAACTTGGATACTTGAGGCTTCTGACGTTGAAAGATTTGTTTACAGTTAAAACATTTTTGTTCATCACCTCTTTCCTGCAACTATCAGGGTCCGTTCTCTGAGTCGACCAAGGCTCATGGTCAATAAGGTGAAATAGTAGAACAAACTTGAATGCAAAACCACTATACTTCTCCCAGAAGTTTAGGAGTGGTAATTTTAAAAAAATTAAAAAAGGGGCAGATTTTAAATAGAAGAGACTTCCAAAAGTAAGTATCTTTTTGCTGAAACTTCTACATTACTGCATTAAATTAAAATCTGTAAAAAACCGCTTATTGGTCGTAATGTCAGCTTTTTAACGAGCTATAGTATTTTAAATTTTGTTCAGTAGAATGGCAGAAAAGTTATTTTTTTGTGAACCCACCTCACCACCAAACGGGTTTGAAATTCCATGTTGGTACATCGGCGCAGCAACTACTCGGTGTCAAAGTGCAATCACGATTTTGTAACATCAGACAGCCACAATTCTTAACTAAAGTTTCCTTTATTATAAGATCACCAAAAATGCACGACAATGTGGACATCAGCGTGGTATTAGTTGTATTTCAGCTACTTTTTGTGAAATTGCTTCACAAGCTAGGGGGCTTTCGTATCAAATCATGGAGTTACCCAGAAATCTCGTTCATCTATAAAGAGTTGTATGCTGAGGGGATTAATAAGCTTGTCCAACATTACATTTTATCTCACGTCTTGTATAAATTTCGGACGGACTGGTAGCGTGAAATTTTGGACCCATGTGGTCCGGAGGTGAGTTCACAAAAACAACTTTTTTGACATTCTGCTGAACCAAATTTTAAAGGAAAAATAAAACCTTGCAAGAAAGGGGACATCATGACCAATGAACAGTTTTTCTCAGACCTTTATTTCATGCAGTAGTAAAGAAGTTACGGCAAAAAGATACTTTTATTCGGAACGACCCTCGTACATAAGTAAAGTTGCAATGGTTACAGTCGGAAACAAATTACAAGTGGAATAGGATGTGCACTTCATATTCCTATTTTCATATGTTGGAATGTAGTAGGTTCAATTCATAGCAGTTCAAAAAACAAATTTCAGTTAAAGAGGCTGGCAATTTTTCAACGATTATGATGTACTTGAGGGGAGGTAAGGAAAGACTCAATACATCTAGACTATCCATAGCACAAAGGCTGCCATAACTTGGCTTAGAACCTCATTTTCTCTCCCTCTCCTGATATTTTCTGAGAACCAGACAATGATACATGTTTGAGGGGTATTTAAGAAAGATAGATCAACGTCTACTTTTTTGATTGGTGGCATTTTCCATCGTGAATTGTCACGATAAGCAATCATAGTTGGCAACAGGGGAAGAACTTTAATAATTCAGGTGCCCTCCTCATCGTCGCCGTTAGGGAATGATGCACGTCTGTTTTCTAAAAGGGAAAAGAGAATGTCTTTAATTTTTTCTCTTGTAAGAGGAACTGTAGGATCAACATTCCTCTGTCAGAGAATTAACACTATTTAGCAGTTGCAAGGATAACATTTTAATTATAAAACTACAAGGAGTTTTGCCAGACCATTACTTCAAGAGGAAAATTGACGTGAAGTTTCTTTATGTGAGTTCAATGAAGCAGGACATTTTGGGGTGTAAGCTCCTCCATCTTGTGGCATTTTTGTCGAGGAACCTTTGAGCATTTTCAGAGGGGGTTTAATATTAGTCTCCTTCAGGTGCTTTCAGAGAATTAAGAAATCACTCTGTTCTTTAAGGAAACTGAAAATAGGGTTATATTTGACCCTCAAAATAAATATGTATAGGAGGAAAAAAAAATAAATGATGCAGTAGATTTGCAGCTGATAATTAAGTTCAATTGTTTGCACAGTCTCCTAAGTCATTGTTATTGGACTGTGTCCAATTGATCTTGTCCATTGTCTTATGGAAGGAAAAATCACAAGAAAAATTGTAATTTTAAGCAGGCGTTGGTTCCAGAATTAGGTTTAGCAATTGAGACAAAGAATTTTTACTTCCAACAAATCTGTTATCTAAGTTTTCGAACTTGTTATCAAAATTTATCAGTATTTTGGGAATCTCGCCCCTTTTTGTTTTTCATCTAATCAAATTTTATCTGAGAAAAGTTGTTCAAAGTAGCGGAAAATCAAAGTTTTTTTCAAAGTTGGTCCAGGAAGAGCTGAGTGTGTTTCGGCATTCCTTTTTCATGAGTGTACACTCCCTACCAAATGAGGTTATGTTGTTAAACAGGATTACTGTTTTTAGGGGTTACTGTAATTCTTTTGGTAAAGGTTCCTTCTTTTAATTATACTATTGAAAATTTGTGTTGCAGGAGAAATAACAATCAGTTCCGAAGAGGAGCCGCCATCCGCAGACACTTTGAGAACTGGTAAGTGAAAGTATTTACAACATCGGAACTTGGCAACCATAAAAATACAGATTTTATCACTATTTTATCAGATGAATAAAGGAAAGAAGGGCACAGTAATTAATTTCAAGGTGTATTTGTTTGGATCCAAATTGTTGATGGGTTGCAGAAACACAGAATTTTCAGAGGACAGTAGACCAATTGCAAGTCTCTGATAGCGTATCTTCTAGATGAACCAAGCTCAAATTGGTTGTATCAAAAAGAAAAAAAAGTCATCACAAGAAGGAATGTAATTTTCTAGGTGTATTTTTAGGGCTGATCTCGAAACTTATGTTGGGTTTTCTGGATCCTCACAGTATGCTTGGAAAAATCAAATTTTGCATGTACTCCAAAAAAAAATCGCAGTTTACCACAGAAAATTCAGTTGTTTTGGAACTGAGTAAATAATACAGGACAGGGGAAAGGAAAGAAGAGCCAATTATCGCATCAACCTGAGTGGATCAGTTATCATTTTGTTACCATGTAAATTTATGTTGAATTGTGTGATTCTCGGATGTGTCATATGTGTCTTCTTTTCTTTCCCCAATTGGAAGTAGGTGATTGTCAAATGCACCATTTCAAAATCATTGCAAAAAGCCCACCTAGAATCAGTGACAAATTTTAGGCGATCCGAAGTGTCTGTTGACCAGTAGCCTGATTATTGATGCTCATGTCAGCACAAAAAGACTTAAAAAATCGATCAGTTAAAAGATTATCATGTGTTAGCCTGCTGACAAAGCCTGATAAAGCTTTAACAATCAGGCTGTAGTGTCTCATGGTTGCTTGAATGAATTCAGGGGAGAATTACATTTTTGCCGGTAAATGAAGAGCAAAGAGGAGACTTGGATATCAGAAGTGACAACAAATTTATTAAGGATATTTTTGGTAAACAGGCATTATAGTGCCATTAAGCCCATTTTCAGGAGTACAAGATTTCTAAATCCTCTTAAGATGGCGTATCCAATAAAATGGATGTAGCTTATACATGTTTCTGTACAATAGAAATGAACTAAAGATCATAGAGAGAGAATGGAATGCGAATTTTACAAAGTTTTCATGTTTATGGGGGAGCATATAACCCTGATCCACTGTATAGTCGTCATCTCTACCCCTGCATCATCCATGCGTTGGCAACTAATGGACAAAGACTTCAGCACTCTAATTTTTCTGTTTAAAATGAGAAAGGCGACATGTTTTTAGTTACAAACCCACCCCTCTCAATTACCATTCATGTTGAAAAAAAAACTTAAATAATAAGGAGCATATCATCTCAGCAGCAGAAAGTCTCTTGCCAATAAAAGAACTTGTGCATATTTCAAACAAAAAAAAAAAAGAAAAAAAAATATGTTAGAAACCCGCACAGGGTAGCCATCTGCTGTTTTCCATACCCCTTTTCAAAGGTTCAGCAAGTCACAAAGGAATTAGAGTTTAGACGCAGTTTAAGTAATGGAGGAAGTACATGGTGTTCAATCTTCAATTGGGGATTTTCTCCGAAATAAAATGTTCGGTATACAATCTTTTACTTTCGAATACTCAATGCTGAGGTTCAAAATGAAACAAACTTTACTCATTAGGTGCTTGTTATGTTATCACAAGCCGGAAACATTGACTAGAAAAGCATGATGATAGATGTATGTAGTTGTGTCTACAGTGAAATATAATCATTGACTGAAGTTTACTGTTTTTCAAATTTGTGATTTCGAAATCACACTTATGTACTGAACTGTACGAAATTCCCTGATTAGTTAACTTGGACGTTTTTTTTTCATTCACAGATGCAGTAGATTATACGGGATGCAGCTCTTGCGACAAGCCTGATAACTAGGTGAGTTTTCAATTTTTTGCCAGTACACTTAAAAATTGTATACGTAGTAAATCATTCTTGGAAGTGAAGGGTTTTTCCTTAAGATTTTACTCCTCCTTCAGGTTAGCCGAAGATAATCAGCTTTTTTACAAATTTTGTTTTTACCCATCTTTTTAAGTATGGTCTATGAGGACAAGATTTAAAAAGTTCCCCGAGAAAATCTGCTTAAAAAGTTTTTCAACAGTGCAATGACCAAGCTGTTTATTATTTTTGTTGTTTTAAATTTTCTGATACCGAGGACTTTTTTCGTAATCGTCAACTAAGATATGTCGACGGTGCAAGTCGGCAATCACATAACTCGGTTTGCGACGTCGCAGACTTCCTGTCTTACTTTATTTTTAAATGGAAAACTACTCAACGGCAATTCCTTAAAACTGTCACGATTTTTCTTCTCAATGCGAAGAAAATTCTGCAAAAACTTCAAGAAATAATGTCAATTTGCTCTCCTTTAAAAAAATGACGTAGAGGCGGAGATTTTCAGACACCGCAAACGAGTTATGTGATTGCCGACTTTCACCGTCGATGTTTCGAAATAATGCGGTGAGATGAAACGGATGCTACAGATACAAATTTTCGGAAGTGAGAACTTGTCAATTGGAAATGTGGAGCTTGTGGTGACAAAACGGTTGCAAATGAGGATTAGGTACGAAACTTGTGTAAATTTAATGATGATGGTATTATCCTCCAGAAAATTTTGAAGAGAGATTTCATGCATGTTTTTTCCCCCTTCATATCCTTGAAATTGAGATAAGAGAAGCTTTCGAAGGGAAAATGGCAAATTATAATACGAAGACCTCGAATTACTAAAGGTTATAAGCCTTGGCCTGATATAATTAAGTCAAGTTTTCAAAATGTCAATGAAGTCCTAGACTAATTGCATTCCTCTAAGATGATGTTTTGAAGCCAAAGCTGAAGGAGGAATAAAACTAATGGAAGATTATTGAGTTTTTTCAAAGAGCGTACCGGTATGTCAGTTCATTGTCCAGTGGACTTGTAGATGCAGAAAACTTCATCCAACTAGAAATAGGCAGATGACAGTGAATGGCATAAGAGACACGTATGTTCTTTATAGGAAGAGAAAAAAAAACTTTTGGTGAGGCAGCCATTGGTAAAATAGAATTACTTTTTTGGATCTCAAGGTATGTGGTTTTCTTGACCAGTGATGTTTTTAATCCTTGGCTTATCAAGAGTTACACAAATTTCAATCGTTTCATGCAGAGGCCGCTCATGTCCATTCTTCCTGTCTTGAGTTTTTTTGAGTTGATAATACATTCAAGAGTTGAATTTAATGATGAATGTGGCATTATTACTTGTTTTACACTTTGATGGTGGTGTCAAATTTTGAAAATTATTATGAGCACAAGAAAACTAAAAGCTGGAAAAATATACATTACAGACTTTCGCACAACATGACTCAATTATGAAATGATAAACGCCAGAAAAGATGAATTTTGAAACTTAGAATTATGGTTTACATAACTTGGCAACACCTCATAAGGGGCAGGGTTGCCACAGTCAGGGAATTTTATAAAGTCAGGGAAAACTGGGAAATGTCAGGGAAAATTTGTTGAATCTTCTTCATTTGCTTTCTATATTGGGTTTGATGTTTCAAACTACAAATTTTTGTCAAATTATGTCTTCTTAGCCATTCGCCATATCTTCATTTGTCAGGGAATTTCACCAAAATTTATCAGGGAAATGTCGGGGAATTTTATTTTCTAAATTTTGTGGCAACCCTGTTTGATCGAATGACTATTACTTTAATAACCGTAACTTTTTCTGCTATTCCACTTACTTGACAGTTGATGATTATTTCTTTTCTCATGTTTTCAGATGCTTGAATCAGGCAGCCTAGAACACATGTCTTGAAAGAAAATCCCAATTATTTTCGTTCCTCAATGATTACTTTTAGACGGAATTGACGCTGCTCAAAATTGTTTTACTTCTCTCTTACTGCCTTTTTTAAACAATATATATATATTTTTTTAATTTAATGGTCATTTTGTTTACTTGCTAATTATAATATTCATTTATTAGTGTTTAAATACGTTAGTGAGTTGCTTGTGTAACACTGATTTTTGTTCCTTTTTTGGAAACTTGAATGAATTTCATGCGCTCATGTAAACAAGCTCGTTCTTAGACTAACAGTGCAAATATGGCAAATTTCACCTAAGCCTTTCTTTAGCACGTTCAACCCATATTTTGTACTTGTATCCCCTTGAAATATCATAGCGTTAGTGAGTCAACAGAGTAATGCTGATTTTTATCCCTATTTTCGGAAACTTGAATAAATTTCATGCGCTTATGTAAACAAGCTCGTTCTTAGACTAACAGTGCAAATATGGTAAATTTCACCTGAGCCTTTCTTTAGCATGTTCAACTCATATTTTGTACTTGTATCCCCTTGAAATATCATTATGTTAGCAAGTCTGATGCAAGTCTGTGTGCATTACTGATTTTTTGTTTTGTTTTCAAGAACTTAAATAAATTTTCTTTTTTCTACTACCTTATGTCTATTTATCAACATCTCTTTTTTCATACACCATTTTTTCTCATGACTAATATTAGTGAGTGAAATATTTTTTCATGTGTGTTTTAAATTCTTCCAGTCATTAATTGACTAATAATAGTCGCATTTTGTTCCTGAAGGCCACAAATTTTTTATTTCTCCCTATTTTCTGAATCTGATTGTCTTGAGATGGCTTTATGGCGAAAGTCTCAAAACACTTTCCTCATTTGGAATGTTTCAAGAAGAGCTGATGATGTTTCATTTTCATTTAAATTTTTTCCTCACAATGAAAATCAGTGAATTATTCATAATTTTACCAAATATTCTGCACATGATGCAGGACAACCAGCAAAAATGTCAAGAAATAATGTTCCTTAGCTTATCGTAAGTAATACAGACAATGTGTCAAGAAATCATCAACGTTGCAAAAAGAGACATTCAATTTTCAACAAGGACTAACATTGGTTGAAAAATAAGAGTGACCATGAATGAGAATCTTATTAATTTTAAACAATGAACGTTTTGCAGGATTTAAAATAGATTACTAAAATCTTAACCTCTTTACTAAAGAGAGATGAAGTTTCGTAGATTTTGAATCACTAAGGGGCTACGTCCCAGTAAATAATCACTGAAAGAAAAAAAAAAATCTTAAATTTGCCGCCAAGAAGTATTCTCTCTTGAATCAAGAATTCTGATCATAATCAGCTTATTACAAACTATATACATGCTTAGTTGGCGGCCAATTCAAGAATCATCATGCATCATAATGGATACGGCAACATTGCTCGTGATACCCCCCTTTGTTTTTCTCGAAATTTTCTGATGATGATTCTGGGTGTCCATACTCAATATAAAATCTTTCAAATTGGATGAACAAATGAAATTAATGAAACGACAGTCCTGCTCCGAATTTACGCGACTCGCGAATTATGGATGATGCAGCAATTCGGCAACATTGCAGAAAATTGCCCCCTTGGATATTTTTAAATTTTCCAAGGATGATTCTTGGTGTGCATACTCAATATCTTATGTGTCTAAAGGGGATGCACAAATGAAACTTTGAAACCCTCAGAGCCTGCTCTGAAATTACGCGACTCACGAATTATGGATAATGCAGCAGTTCGACAACATTGCATGAAATTTCCCCTTTGGATTTTCTCGAAATTTTCCAAGGATGATTCTGGGTGTGCATACTCAATATCTTATGCGTCAAAGGGGATGCACAAATGAAAACTTGAAAACCTCAGAGCCTGCCCTGAATTTACGCGACTCGCGAATTAAGGATGATGGAGCAATTCGACAACATCGCTAGAGATTTCCCCCATGGATTTTCTCGAAATTTTCCAAGGATGAATCTAGGTGTGCATACTCAATATCTCATGTATCAAATGGGATGCACAAATGAAACTTTGAGAACCTCAGAGCCTGCCCTGAATTTACGCGACTCACGAATTATGGATAATGCAGCAATTCGACAACATTCCTAGAGATATCCCCCTTGGATATTCTCGAAATTTTCCAAGAATGATTCTTGGTGTGCACACTCAGTATCTTATGCGTCAAAGGGGATGCACAAATGAAAATTTGAAAACCTCAGAGCCTGCCCTGAATTTACGCGATTTGCGAATTATAAATGATGCAGCAATGGGACAACATTCCTGAAGATTTCCCCCTTGGATATACTCGAAATTTTCCAAGGATGATTCTGGGTGTGCATACTCAATATTTTATGCGTCAAAGGGGATGCACAAATGAAAACTCGAAAACCTCAGAGCCTGCCCTGAATATACGCGACTCGCGAATTATGAATGATGGAGCAATTCAACAACAACATTGCATGAAATTTCCCCTTTGAATTTTCTTGAAATTTTCGGAGGATGGTCTTCGATATCTATCCTCAACAAATATAATCCGTCAAATCGGATGATTTGATTTTCTTTTTCTCATAAAAATAAAAGTCAAAGGGGATGCACAATGCACAAATAATGAAAATTTGAAAACCTCAGAGCCTGCCCTGAATATACGCGACTCGCGAATTATGGATGATGGAGCAATTCAGCAACATTGCATGAAATTTCTCCTTTGAATTTTCTCGAAATTTTCGGAGGATGGTCTTCGATATCTATCCTCAATAAATATAATCCGTCAAATCGGATGATTTGATTTTCTTTTTCTCATAAAAATAGAAGACTCCAAAATGGATTAATTAATTAATTTAATTAATTAACGGTAAACATTGATCCCGGAACAAATTCCGCTGGTTTATGAAGGTTCCGGATCTTTTCCGGATCTCTCAGAATACTACCTGTTCCGAGAACATCGGACATCAACTTTGTAGGTAACTCTAGAGTCCCTTTATACTGAGAGTCAAGACAATTTGAATCCATTTCTGATTGGTTCCCGTATTTTAGGCCTCCACAGTGTCACAAACGGGAATAAAGATTACATTTTCACCAATTGCAAAGATTATAATCTGGAATGGACCAGGGAATTACGGGTTCGGCAAGGAACAAACGGAATGAGAGGAGGAACGGAGAAAGGCACTTGAGAATGGGCCGATCAAAGATTACAAAAAACGTTCAATTTCTGTAATCTTTATTCCCGTTTGTGACATCCATGAGCCGAATGAGCCTCTAGACAGGGTAAGAACTGGAGGCTCTAAGCACATGAATCTGCATCAGAATTTCGCGTAGAATTCAATGGTACAAACGGGAATTCATGAAACCAACTAATAAGCGAGATATTTGCGTAAATAGACTGCGCATTTTTGTAAATCCCGCTCGCCTAATATACGAATGACGTCACATTTGTAGCCAATAGGATTGTCGCAGCGCTGCGCAGCGCCGACTGAGCATCGGCCATCGAAAACGTCCAACGCTCCCAACGCCGGGACCGTAAACAAACGAAAATTGATAACAGGAAGGACCCAATCACCCAGCAACTCGAAATCTTTTAAGTTTCATTAATTACAGTCCATGTTCGACTTCAAGAAAGCATTTGACAACCATTTTCCTCGTATTTTATAACCTGGAGCCACAGCTTATCGGCTCATTGTAATGTGCACTCTGAGAATCAGTTCCACAAGTCCAAACCCTGACATCCTTTTCTTTGACCATTCTCTTTTCATTCTCGCCACAATTTGAGTGTTATGCAGTTTCTTTATCTAAAATATGTGGTCTTGAATTCATTCAGGAGTCAGAAGTTTACCTTTCTTTTAGTATTACAGCCCTTTGACCCCTCAAACTTCACCGATATGACCTCATGTAGTTCAAGGTTTCTCTGGCCCGAACCGAGTGATTACACATCTGAGGTGTGTCTCATGGTTCTTCAAATTAGCAGTTTAGAACTAAATTAGGGACTACAGTGACTCAATCCAGTTCTGCTTTCTTGTTCAATGTTTGTTATCAGTATCTGTTCTTTTACGTGACCAATCTAGTGCATGCACTGTTACGCTATAAGTACAGGTATTATTGCTTTTTTCCTGCTGTCAGACCTTTTTCTTAAGCCTGCTGATTCACCACAGAATCTGCCCTAGTTGTGTAAATAATTTGGTGTGTAGTTATTGAGTTAATACCTCCTTGCGGTGATGCAAACTTTCTCAGATCCGTCATAAGTGGGTATTGCATTTAGACGATCACTCGGACCAGATGAAATCACTGCTCTAGCAGCTCCAAATTTATACTTTGATCTCTGATTCACTAATAAATAACACTTTATGGTGTCATTTATATTTAATCAGTTCAAAGCTAATTCGACAATGAATCATCAATGGTCCGATCGAAAAAGGAATTTTCTGGTGCGTGCTATGGCTGAATCGACATTACCTACAACTCAACTTTCGAAAGCATGAACCTTAAAAAAATTCATCAGGAACTGGTACTTGGTACGTAATAATTATGTTAGCACTCTCCTATTTCTGAAGAGATGTGTGTCCTGTAAATTTCAGAATATACTCTCCTGCCATATATCTAAAGAGGAATACAACATCTCAAGTGGATGAAGTTATAAAATTGTGGAAATTGGTCATTTAAAGGGCTTTTCTGCTCGAAGACATGACTGAACCAATCTGAAAGCTGTGAGTTACGAATGATGGAGGGTCCAAGGTGTCTTCCCTGCTTTAAAAGATAAGGAATTGTGCCTCAGGCCTTAAATGCTATTGGAAATTCCAAACATTGTGAATTCAAATGCACGCTACACTTCATCAATGAATATGGAAATTTGTCTCAGAGAAAATCTGATAAGACCATTCTGGTAGTTATTTATTCCTGGTTTCTTAATTTCAGAATTTTTGTATTCTAGTTATCATCAAATGCTAATCAACAGATATTGCACAAAACAGTTGCTTATTATTTGAGGATTCATTTCTTAATCAGTATGTTTTATGTGTTTCATGCAGCGACGAGCCTTACTGAATTTCATGAAATTAAGTGATCACACCTACTTACCTGCAACATAGTTAGATCATCCTCCAAGCGTTAAGAAAATATTTTTCCTCTCTTTTAAGAATTCAGGGCGAGTAAAACCTGCTCAACAAAAGTTTGTGTAAGATTGTTCCATTCAAAATCACCTAAGAATCATTTCAATGGTAAAGTTGCCAACGATTCCTATTGAAAGTCGTTTGGTTCACTGAATTTTTCAGGTACCGAAAGATGAAAGGATCTTGAAAAGTCATAGAATTACATCCCACCATGAAAACAAGTTGGGAAAAACAGTTCAGATTGACCAGGGATGACATTTGTAACATTTACTTCTCAAACCAATCTAATGGCCAAACATAGGTATCATTTGCAAAACGTGTAAATTACATATCCTGAATACGTTGCTCAAACTTTCTACATCCAGCTCAGATTTTCAAAGGGAAGCAAGTTAGCATATTGTTTGAATTAATTACTGAATTTTCTGCCCATGTAGAGGAAAAATATCACATTTCAGAGATTTGGTTGAATGATTTTTTAATTGAGAAATTAAGAAGAACAGGAAGTCTGAAACTTTGTGAATTTAGGTAAGTGGTTTCCCAGTTTAGCCTTGTCATTAACGTCCTCTTTTTGCCATGAATGATTATCCACAAACGTAAGCATACTCACACTAACTGTCCAACAACAGATCCGTATGTACCCTGGTGATACCTTAGTAACTTCAGATATCTTACCTTTTGAACTACTTGAATGGTTGAAAAATATTTTCACTTCAAGACGGATGGTCATGTCCTGATTGAAGCTTTCGAAAATTGAATGTAGTGTCGATTCAGCCATAGCACGCACCAGAAAATTCCTTTTTCGATCGGACCATTGATGATTCATTGTCGAATTAGCTTTGAACTGATTAAATATAAATGACACCATAAAGTGTTATTTATTAGTGAATCAGAGATCAAAGTATAAATTTGGAGCTGCTAGAGCAGTGATTTCATCTGGTCCGAGTGATCGTCTAAATGCAATACCCACTTATGACGGATCTGAGAAAGTTTGCATCACCGCAAGGAGGTATTAACTCAATAACTACACACCAAATTATTTACACAACTAGGGCAGATTCTGTGGTGAATCAGCAGGCTTAAGAAAAAGGTCTGACAGCAGGAAAAAAGCAATAATACCTGTACTTATAGCGTAACAGTGCATGCACTAGATTGGTCACGTAAAAGAACAGATACTGATAACAAACATTGAACAAGAAAGCAGAACTGGATTGAGTCACTGTAGTCCCTAATTTAGTTCTAAACTGCTAATTTGAAGAACCATGAGACACACCTCAGATGTGTAATCACTCGGTTCGGGCCAGAGAAACCTTGAACTACATGAGGTCATATCGGTGAAGTTTGAGGGGTCAAAGGGCTGTAATACTAAAAGAAAGGTAAACTTCTGACTCCTGAATGAATTCAAGACCACATATTTTAGATAAAGAAACTGCATAACACTCAAATTGTGGCGAGAATGAAAAGAGAATGGTCAAAGAAAAGGATGTCAGGGTTTGGACTTGTGGAACTGATTCTCAGAGTGCACATTACAATGAGCCGATAAGCTGTGGCTCCAGGTTATAAAATACGAGGAAAATGGTTGTCAAATGCTTTCTTGAAGTCGAACATGGACTGTAATTAATGAAACTTAAAAGATTTCGAGTTGCTGGGTGATTGGGTCCTTCCTGTTATCAATTTTCGTTTGTTTACGGTCCCGGCGTTGGGAGCGTTGGACGTTTTCGATGGCCGATGCTCAGTCGGCGCTGCGCAGCGCTGCGACAATCCTATTGGCTACAAATGTGACGTCATTCGTATATTAGGCGAGCGGGATTTACAAAAATGCGCAGTCTATTTACGCAAATATCTCGCTTATTAGTTGGTTTCATGAATTCCCGTTTGTACCATTGAATTCTACGCGAAATTCTGATGCAGATTCTTGTGCTTAGAGCCTCCAGTTCTTACCCTGTCTAGAGGCTCATTGTCTTGACTCTCAGTATAAAGGGACTCTAGGTAACTCTGTCTCTGTCTGTAGCTCACTTCAGACTTCAATCACCTGAACTGGAGAAAAACATGGCGATCGATAATGGTGTTGGTGTTGCGATGGTGAATGTGCTTGTGTGCTTGACATTGAATTGAATACTTATCATCGCGTTTCCTGCCCTATCGACAGTATTTTCTGGAAGTGCTGCGGATTTCAAAAGTTTTAAAACCTCGAAATGGCGATTTCTCACGCGTATTGGGTCTGGACTCAGTGTATTCTGAAACCCACATCCTAGTGTCCTAGTGTCTACGATCATTACGAAAAAGCCGGCATCGATAAGACGCATCGTGGGAGAAAACATTTCTGTGCAAAGGATCATACACTTTCATAAAATCCTGAAACTTGACAAGTAGTGCATGTAATCATGGAGAATAACGTAAATGTCAATTTGATATCGAGGAGTCTCAGCTTTCATGGACAGCAACTTCAGAAAGCTTGGGAAAGTGAACTGGGAGATAATTTATCTAAGCTCAATGTACCGGAGCCTGATTTTAACGTGTATCAACAGCGTCAGAAGCATCTGAGGTTAGTATTCCCTGGAAACTGTCATCAAAATCGGAATATTGAGGAACGATGATCAATCCTTTAGATGCCTTTTTTCATCAGCTGTCTTTTGTTTCACCCACCCACCTGAATCTATGGGAGCAACGAATTGTACACGGATTGGGGGGCTCTGCCCCAGTTTAGTTAAATCGCAGCAAGACAGCTGACTAGGGCGTTTGAGTACAGCAGAGATTCCTGCGCGGCACGGAAGGCTAGGGTTGACAACAAATCCTGCCGCAGATCATCAATAAGCAGGAGCAAGTCACCGATGCGTATCTGCCTTCAGCTCTGGTGGAGAAACAAAGAGCTTTAATTGCCTTATGTATTGACAAATTCTTCAACTATGTCATGAAGCAGGGGTGGCTCTGCGGTAAAGCGCTCACCTCGCATGATGAAATTCCACGGATCGCGTCTCCTTGAGGGTATTTTTTTAATGCCTACAACATAGTTATAAATGCTTTGCATGGCATTAAAGGATCATTTTTTCCCTATAGAAGACTGAGGGTTGCATTTTATGGGGGCCATCTATAAATTACCAAAGTAAGGCACTTTTCCCCATTTTTAGACTTCCATCCACCTCCTAACGAGGGCCTCACTGTGAGGCACCGTAAGGCCTCCCTTACCCCCC